ATCCCACTTCTGGTGGGCTACCCAGCCAATTAATTACAGGCAGAAATTCTGGCTGAGCATTCATTGCTCACATAAGCTCCTTGCTGAAAAATAAACCTCCAGAGTCGTCAGGAGAAAACKAAGTAGGAGATGGTGTGCTGGAGAGAAAAATACACACAGACCAAGAATAGGACATGACCTATGTTTTATAGGGGGGAGGGTTTGTGTCTACTCTGGTGCAATAAAAAAAAAAACCCTCTCCCCTCCTTTAGGGAAAAAGTAAATGTGCAAGAGTACAATGGCTGAGCCATGAGGTTCTTAAAAATCAGGAATTATTAATTTTTCATCTTTTCTCATGAGTTACTACAAGCATCAGCCCCTCTTAGGCCAGGCAGCCCCTGACACCGTACATGAGAGCCTCATCTGGCTCCTGGGCATGGATCCCCCTCTCTGGTGAGGTTTAACCACTGAGCAGAGCTCCACACTCACCCCTCTGCTGTTCTTGAGGAACTTGGCATGCAGAGGGTCTGGAAATCTTTGTTTGTCCCTTCCAGGTGGGTGTGGCTGTCTGTGGGTGAGACACACAGGAGGAAGGCAATGAAGAGGGTGATGTGAGATCACGGAATCCCAGGTTTGGTTGGAAGGGACYTTAAGGATCCTCTTGTTTCACCCCCTGCCACAGGCAGAGATGCCATCCACTAGATCAGGTTGCTCAGAGCCCCATCCCACCTGGCACTGAACATTTCTAAGGATGGGACAGCCACAAACTTMCTGGGAAAACTGTGCCAGTGTCTCATCACCCTCAGAGTGAAGAATTCCCTCCTAATGTCTAACCTAAACCTGCCCCCTGTCAGTKTGAAGCCATTCCCCCTTGCCCTGTCACTCCAGGCCCTCGTCCCCAGTCCCTCTCCAGTTCTTTTGCAGCCCCTTTAGGCTCTGGMAGGGGCTCTGAGCTCTCCCTGGAGCCTTCTCTGGGTGAACACCCCCAGCTCTCCCAGTCTGTCCCCAGAGCAGAGGGGCTCCAGCCCTCRGAGCATCTCCGTGGCCTCCTCTGGACCTGTTCCATCAGACCYAAATCTCTCCTGTGTGGAGCACCCCAGGGCTGGTGACAGAGCTGCACTGAGGTGTCACAAGAGAGGAKCAGAGGGGGACAATCCCCTCCCTGCCCTGCTGGTGCCCTGGCTTTGGGGCAGCCCAGGGTGTAGTTGGCTCTAAAATCTGCAGCCGCTCTCTCAGCAGGGGATGGGACTCTGAACAGCTCCAGCAAAAGCTCAGTGGAGTAAACAGCGAGAAAGATCTGTGACCTGGAGAGAGGGGGAGATGAGCCCAGACAGCTGCCTGAGGCTGCCAGAGCCTCAACACCGAGCCAGCGCTTCCAGATTAAATATCCCAAACAAMATCTCCAGTGTGAGGGAACTCGCTCTGCCACAGTCATCATCATCATCATCATCACCATCATCATCATCATCACAGGTCACTGCCCAGCGTGGGGGGTTCCTGGCCACATCTCCACACACAGAGAACCCCCCAGTGCCCCTCGGAGCCCGGCACGTGCCTCTCTTCCCTGCTGCAGCCAGAGCTCTCGGAAGCCTCCGATGCTTCTTGACATTAGCCAGGCCTGGCTATATATTACTGGGATATATAATTAAAGCTCAGGGGTTTGCATACAGTAGCTGGCTTTTGTAAGACAAGAAAATCAAGGAGTGTGACCAAGAGGGATTTTTCAATGTGAAAATTGAGTATTAAAAGGGTGCTTAAGCCTGCTGAGCCAAAACCACAAGGGGGAAAAGTCTGCCTAGGAAAGWACCAAACATTTGCATTGTAAGAATGATAAGATGATGGGATTTGAAGCTGAAATGCATTTCCTGCAGACTCTGGGGCAGTGCAGGCAATGGCACAGGGGAGGACAGTGACCTGGCAGCTACCCCAAATGGGAGCCAGACCCCATCCCCTGCATCCATCCCCTCCTGGCCATAGCACAGGGAACACACCTGCCAACAGTGTCAAGCAGATGATGTAAGGATGCAGTAAGCAAATGGGAGGCAACTTATCCATCCTAGGAAGGATCTGAATGCTCCATGTGCCGCTTCCATAATGGCTCCATGAAGCAGCCAGGTGCTTTTTGCCTTGCCAAAGTGACTCCTGGCATGGCTGGGAGGGTGGAACTTGCTGTTTGGTGTCACCACCTTATGAGGGCACTTCCAGAAGAAGGAACCACACAGGCAAATGCTGGGATAAACAATTCCTGGATAAACAAAATTCTGCCACTAGTAGAGATTGATTATTCTGAATTTACTGGGTTTGCATTGTTGAACATTTTAGGCACACAGCTGCTCCTAGAGGGGGAGGAGATGAGCTGGGGTGATGCTGGGTGTATGACATGGGTATCACCCCTCCTGGCACCCCAAGGAACAGCCAGCAGTGAGATGGAGAGCATCCCACCATCCTGTCAGCTGGCTAACAGCAAAAACTGCCAAGCATTCCCTTAAAGGGCTTTGCCTTGAGCTTCAGGGGGTCATCCTCCCTTCTCTGTGAATCTGTCACATCTGCAGGTGGAGCAAGAGCCCAAGCACAGCCCTCTGCTCCCTCTGGGACCCTTGCAGGACTCCAGCATCCCTGCCCTCTGTGTGGACTGGTTCTGGTGACCACAAAACGCTGGCAGCCGTTCCTGGGCCCCTTCCAGAGCTCACTTGCAAACAAGTTGCCAGTTCCTCACCAAAGAATCCAGCTCCATGACAGTTCCTCAGCTTTTATGTAAACATGTCAGTGGGATAGCTCACAWCCCTGATTGCTCCTTGCCTCGGATCTTTAGGAGAAAGAGCATTAACAATTGCCAATTTATTTCAATTAGTCAGCACTGTCCAGAGGTCTGGACACTCTGTGAGCCCTTCTAGGACACACACGTTCCCTGAGGTGCATCTTTGAGCAAGCCACAAGTRTTTGTTTCTTGGAGCAAATAGTGGTGAAAAATTGAAACTAGCTCATGCAGAAGAACTCATTAACTTAATTGGCAATCCCCTCATTAACCTGAGACTGAAAGGGCCAGAAGAGATGCACACACCYATGAGAAGCTGTGGAAAGGGCAAAGCTTTCAAAGTTGTGTTTTGCAGGGTTGAAAAGCCCCTCAGAGGAGGGAAGGGCAGAGTGGGGCTGAGGACCTGGCAGGCTACAAGAGAGCACAAAGGCAGGGCTGCAGCAGGGACTGAGCAAACCTGGGAATTGTGCTCATCCCCAAACCCATGGACACTGCAGAAACCCTGACCTCAGCCTGGGCCATTTGGTTCACACAAACCAACCAAAAATTCCAGTGTGATCCACCCTGTGCTGAAACCCCAGGGCTCCAGGCAAGGCCAACAAAAACGCAGCAACGATGGGCACAGCAGCTTGAACACATCTCAGGGATGCTGTGATCCCTTCAGCCCCATCCAGGGTGTGCCAGGAGCCAGGGGTGTGTCATGGACATGAAAAAGAACCACATCAACTTGTCCTTCCAGCCTGGAGAGGCGGCTGGGTGGGGGCATGTCCTCATCAGCCTTCTCATGTCCAAACTGTCTCAGGTTAATTAGCAGAAAACCAACCTCTTCCTCAGCTGCTCCACCACCATTCTGGGCAGCCAGGAGGAGGAGGAAGGGCGGGAGGAATGCTGCTGCATCCACACTGAGCCATAACTCACAAACTGAGACAGACTTTTGCTTCTACCTTGTTCCTGCAGGGCTCAGGGACCCCATTCCCAGAACCCCACAGCACATCTGATGCCATTGCCTCTCACTGCAATTTGATTTTTGCAGTTTACTGGACCTGAGCTCCCACTGTGGGGAAAGAAAAGGATTATTCTCTGGCCCCATTTCAGGGCTGGTGCTGTGAAGGTCTGATCTACAGCCTCGCAGGAGCCAAGCAGTGATCCCAACACACAGCACATCGCAGGCATCTTTCCTACTCTGCACTCTCAGCCTCCAGTTCCTGCTTTTTAATTTCCTGTGGCCACAGAGCACCACTGGAAGGTCTCCCAGGGACACTGTTTCCCATACACCATGGTCAAGGTTGTGGGGGGGACACAGTGAGCTGTATCAGTCTCAGCMCAGGGGAGTTGCCTGCAATAAGGCTGTTTCTGATGGATTATCCAAGTGTCTCAAGACACAATCAGCCTTAAAGCAAAAAAAAACCAAAACCCAAACACTCCAGGGGAACTTTTAACCTGGTGATCCAAGCCTGGCAGCAAACCGGGAAAGGTGATTAGTTTGCAGGAGCAGTAACACTCTGCCTTGGGGTGCAACATGGTGGGTTCTGGGGGAGCAGGTGCCRAGCTGTTCTGGAGGAGAAGCTGGCACAGCAGAGGAGCTGCATTTGGGCAGCTGGAATTGTATCTTCACAGAGCAGAGCAGCTCCAGTGATGCCACCACCCAGGAAAAGCCCAAACCTTGCACACTGGCTGCTTCTGCTCAGAGCAGAGGACATTATGCTCTTCTCAAAAAAAAAAAAAAAAAAAGCCTTAGCCTGAGTTTCCTGGCCCCAAACCAGCGCTTGCTTCTAAATCCTTGCTGTCTGAGTTTGCTGTGAAGTTCCAGCTCAGTGAGGGAGACTGTGCATCCCCTCCCCATGTCCTGTTTTTATGTTATTATTATTATTTACATTTCACAGCAATGCTCACCTCATTTACACCTCTGTGGGAAGAAGTTATCAAGAAATTACTGATTTATGGCTGAAATGATGGCTAAACGAACACTGACCATAAGACTTGAAGCTTTTCAAAGCCATCCTTCTCATTCCTGAGTATTTTTGCCTCTTTGTTGGTCAGGATTCTCAACACCCCCAGCACAGCTTTGTGCCATAGCCAAACAGTGCAGCTCTCTGAGCTGAATTAGTTGATGGGGATTTTTTTCCTCAGTGTATGTAAATAAATATCAATATTCTAAACCAAAGACCTCCCAGTAAGTAAATATTATTTATCTTGTATTTATCTTCAAACTAAACAGCTTTGTCACATATGTACAATAATAAAGAAACAAATTACAAAGGAGGAATTTGATTTTATTGGTTTTATTCAAAGYCCACGCGTTATATATCAATTCTGAACAACAGACTTTTCACAGTTCATTAGAGACATTGTCAAAACTTTGGGTGAAGCTCGTTTCACTTCCCCACCAGTAACAGGAGACATCACAGCCTGSTTGTTTGTTTTAGTTTTATTCGCTCTTCACAACAGTGACCATTTTCAAACCATATCAGGGAAATCCTCCACTTCACTGGGGAAAGGCACTTGTGAGAAAAGAACAGCTGAGCACGTAGGCTGAATTTGGGTCTTTTTGGGTATTAACTTGATATCCCAAGTAGGGTTACTGACAATAAACCCCAACATCTTGCTTCCTGTGTGTGACCAATCAGCACGTGACGGTGTGTTTGCTAAGGATTTACAAAAAATATCTTTCTTATTTTATCGACACGAACACTTGGGTGGCAGTTCGTGGCATTTCGCATCCCAAAATATCTAAGAGACCACACACCTCGCACGTACCCCCGATATAGATTTTGGCACTCCTGTATCTCACTTCTGGGTAGCTGGTGGCTGTGTGTCATCTGAGCAACACCGTCTGGCATTTCAGAGGTGTCAGTGTCCCATCCAGGGCAGGGCAGGACGGAGCACGCTGGGGACACTCGGTGCAGGGATTGCGGGGTGAGGGCAGCCTTCAGCAGGATGAAATCTCCCTGCCAGCACTGCAAATCTGTCTCGGGGAGCATCACAGGATAAAAATGAAGACTTCAAACCACGGAAGGAATTATTTTAAATGTTGTCAGTGGGATCTGCAACTCTTGCAATGATGTTTGCAATGAGTGATTGTAGCTACAAAATAAAAAGGGTGAGCATAGCTTCAGTCTAGGTCAGCTTAGCAAGAATCCTGCTAATGCTGCTTCCTTCACCTGGCTGGGGCTCTGGGTGCTTGGCCAAGCCACTGCCACCCTGCTCCAGCAGGTACCAGAGCACCACAACACAAATAGTGGCTCAGTCCTGCAGGGTGCTGAGCACTGACCTGGCCAAGCACCAGAGKGCCTGCTTCATTTAATGGTGTGAGTGCTGGGAGCTCACCAAGACTTTGTTGTACCTGTGGTACCACAGCTAAAGTTCTTGGCAATTGCAAGATGCAGACCTGCACCTGGGAGTGTCCAAGCCAGGCTGGATGTGGCTTGAAGCAAACTGGAATAGTGGAAGGTGACACTGCCCGCAGCAGGGGGCTGAAATGAGATGAGCTTTAAGGCTCCTTCCAATCCAAACCAGTCTGCAGTTATGTGATTCTGTGCTCTCAGATGGGGAAAGGTTTTCAAGCAGCAACACTGGATACAGCTGTTCCTGCCAGTTGAGCTGCAACTCCACAGACACAACAGCAGCAGCTTGYTCTGCTCTCCCCAGTGTGCCTTGCTCTTGTCACTGGTCACTGGCAGAGATGGTGGTACCAAACCAGAGGGGACTGACCTGGCTGGGCTGCTCTTACACTGTTTGAAGTGCAGAGATGTATAAATCTATAGGAGGAAGGTGACCAGGCATGGGGCAAGCTCATATGGCAGCTGCCACCAATTCCCGTGGGCTTGGGGAACACCAACACACATGGGTAGGCTCCTGATTTCACTCCAGTTCAGCTTAGTTTCTAAAAAAGGGACTGTTCAAACCTTATTTATTGCTGGTTTATCTGCTACATCCTCCTGCAGAGCCAGCAATGGGAAAGAACAAGCACAGGCAACCAGAGGGGTCTCAAGACGAAGGTCTTGAAGGTCAGAAAAGCCAAGCCACTCTTTTTACAAAATATGTTTTCTGTAGGGGTTTTKGTAATCAAGATTACAAGGAAGGAGGGATACCATTTAAACACAAAATATTGATGGACACTGCATTAAAGCTATTYACATCCTGGTTAAACTGAGGCAGCAGCTTTGTCAATAAACTGAGCCAGCTTCACGTCTCTCTTGGTCAGCCCACCGCAGTCGTGGGAAATCAGAGTTATCTGAACCTGTCACAAAGGAAAGGAAAGAGGTTACAAAGGCGTTTTGATCTCAGACACATAGGCTGAACGCCATTCACTGGGAATGCTGTKTCTCCATAGAGTGCTGATTTTACTCGGTGCTCCTGGCAAGCACCAAGCTGGACCCACCCTGCTCATGTAAACCAGAAGATGCTGTAGGTGAGGAGACTTTACAGAGCCTGGAATCTCACCAAAATGAGCCCCTTCGCAGAATAACACAGGCTTTGCATTCTTGGGTTTCATCCAAGAAGAGGTGTCCGATTAAATCACTCACTCTTTACATTTAAATTCCATGGATCAGTTTCATGAAGAACTTGGGCCAGTGATCAAGCTGCCAAGAGCTGGGTCAAGGCCTCACATGTTTTGTTAAAAACCAGCAAAGGTAAAAAAATTGTTAAGCTTGTTGCAGATTAATTTTTTTTTTTTTTTTAAAGAAGGATCAGCTGCCTCACAGGTCTGTTTAGACTGAGCCAGATGACAAAGTTGGGCATTATTTTGTCTTGCCTTTGACTGAGATTTTGGGAAGACAGAAAAGACAAAATCTGAATATTCTGGAAATCCAAGAAAGTCAGGAAGAGGGGGTGATCAGTATTTTGTCCAGTGATCATTTACTGTCCCTTTACACACAGCAACCTGAAGGGCTGATGAGCAGGAGTCTCTGCTAGGAGCCTCAGCTGCAGGGAGAGATGGGATTCCTGTTCTGGGTGTGGTGGTCTGAGGCTGCTTGCTCACATCTCCTTTCTTTTACTTTATTTTTAGTGGGATTGTGATTTATTCACTAAATRCTACAACAAACAATGTGATACAATGCAATGAGAAGTATTAGAAAATAAAACTGAAGGGAGAGCAATAATTTCTCCCTTCACACAGCACCTTTCATTCGAGGGTTGCAGTAATCCTTGTAACCCTTGTAAATATGGGACCACCATCAGTTAGGTAATATTATAAACAAATTTTATAAGCTGCTATGTTGAGACATAGGAGCCTACAATTTTTRAAAAATCAAACCTAAATTGAGACTGCCAGGCACCTATTCAGGTACCAACAGTCTGCTACCCTACACCACTGAGCTCCCGACCTGCTGCACAGAAAGGAATGAGAGCTGGTGAATAGTTTCAAAACAGTAATTTATTCAGGTTAGCTAAATAAGAGTTTAAAGGCTTGTGTTTTATTTTTAGATCTCAGCCAGAGAGGTGAAGCCACAGGYCCCAACCAAACCCAGCTGGCAGCAAGCGCAAAGACCTTCATTCTTGATTCCTCACCCTCTGCAAATCTCAGCATCTCTTTAAAATCTCAAGTCTCTTTATAGAGACACTTCTCATCCCCTTATCTTGTAGCCGAGCTACAAAAAGAGGCAGAGAGAATGGGCCAATGATTTGGCCTCCTTAACTCCACTGCTGTGTGAGTAACTAGGGCTGGTGAACACTTTACCTTGCTGTAGACATTAAACCATTCTGGGTGGTGATTCATCTTCTCTGCTTGCAGAGCAACACGTGTCATAAATCCAAAAGCCTAAGGAAAGAGAAARCAAAGAGGAAATGCTCCATCTGCCAGTATTGGCAATGGATTGGCAAGATTCTCTCCAAATCTTCTCAAGATGCCCTGGATGGCTGCACCCTGGGTTTGTGTGCGCTGAAGAAGCATTTCAACTTCTCATGCCACTGGGGCATTTCCCAGCACAGCTGGAATGATCCCCTGCAGACCTGGTCAATCACCCTGCTCAATATGCCTTACCTCAGGACCCAAAGCTATTGCATGACAGCAATGATTTTACCTCTGGCATCAACAGGGATTTTAAACATCCATCCCAAGTCCCCCATCCCTTACTGCATTTTAGAAACTTGCCATTTCTAATTAAGCACCCTGCCACAGTATTACCAACACTGCTTCCAGAAACACATCCCTACATTTAACTATTTTGCTATTTATTTCACTGAGGAAAAAAAGGCAGCAGGTGGGTCTGCCCCTCTGCTTTATGAGACATRTTTTCCCTTAAAATGAGTTAAAATAGGTTTTCCAATCCTCTGTCCCTACATTCTGCACAGCACACTCCCCCAGGACACAGGTTTTATCACAGGCTCAAAAGGAAAATAATAGCAGGCCCTTGCCAAAATACTTAGGAGCAAATCACTGCATTATAAAGAAAATTAGAATGTCCATGCAAATCAGGACTGTAATTACACAGCGGGGCCCGAAGGGCCTGGGAGCATGAGCAGGACGCCTCTCAGCAGCAGGCTTTGTTCATACCAAGCTCCATCCATCGGGTTCAGGACCTGAATTAACATGCAAAGCTGAAGGAGCATCCCCACTACAGTCTGGTTCACATTATAATACAACAAGCTCCACAAAACCATACCTGATTTAGGTAGGTTTTTAGTGCTAATTTATGGAAGAGAATGCATATAGCCTGCATTCCACCAAGCGATGGCCATTTCAAACAAACATGTGGTCAATGAATAACATATAATGGTTGATAATAGTTTCAAGTCTTTTTCCCTCTCACAAATTGCAAAAACCTTTAAGGAAAAAAGAATTGGTCCCTGGATGAAGAATGACTTTGTTGGTCGCTTTGCCAGTCAAATGAATGCAAACGTTATAATCAGAGAAAATCATTCCAATGAGGTTTGTCATTTGGAAATCACCAAACTGTCAGCAATTAAAAAGCTTTTTTTCTTTGACCCAAGAGCATTCCAAAATTCAGAAGAATCTAACTTCCCTTGAAGCTCTCACTTGGTTTAGTTTTACTTTGAGTGAACAATTACTTTTAAAAATTTACCCAAGTTTCAGCAGCATGCTTTGAAGTAGAAAGCTGCAAGTTGTGCATCGTATGTTAGCAATGATTTGGAAAACTTCTCCATTAATAGTGTTTATTTAAATGTTTTTAGCATATTCATGTGCTTAAAAAGAACACTATTTCCAACACAGCAATCTGTACACAGAAATGTCCCCAAAAGTTTAAAACRGTGATGTGTCTGCAACCAAACTGCCTTTATAGAAACAAACAGTAAAGAAAAAAAAAGAATAAATTTATAACCCCCCCCTACCAGGTTTGTGTATTCTCTACCAGTGTCTGTCTKTTCATCCCAGGAACTCCCCCACCCATGTACAGACCCAGGTCACACTGCAAACACAGTCACTGATGGTACGACAATAATCATCACTCCAATGAAGACACTCAGAGAGAATTATACAAGGAAATGATTCTAAAAAATTAATTTGCCCTGTAGACCTTCCTCCATATCAGCAGACTACCAAATCCCCCCAGTCAGTGTACCAAAATATCATCCCACTATCTTTTCCCTGCAGACAGTAGAGTCTATAGCTGAACAAAAAGGACATCGGTCATCAAACTGTTCATCCTACCAGAGACTGCTCAACTTGAGGCTSTCCGAGTCATGAAAAGGAATAAATTCCAGCACAGAGAACTCTCCCCAGGRCTCATTCTGCTGCTTGTTGCTCCAKCTGTCTGTAACTGTCCCAGCCAGGGCAATCCAATGTCACAGTGAAGGACGAAGCCTGCCCACCTTCGTGCATGCCCTGCTCTGCTTAGACACGTTCTCCCTCATTGCACATTATACACAGCAACTTACTCCCTGCATTTTAGTTTATTTTAATTAYGCACAAAAAGTATCTCTCACCAAGAAAATGAGTCATGGTTCTACCAAGCAATTTCACCAACGCAATCTCCATTAAGGTAATAAATACTTCCTTTGCTAATTAAATGAATTGGAACGCTATTGTTTATGAATCACCTTTATATTTGTAGAGCCTTAACCTTTCTTTGGGAAAATACAACTGGCCCTGGAAGGAAAAGATATTTAGGTTTGATTAGATATGAAAACACTATTACACAAAATCAGTTTGGACATTTCTTCACGTCTTGAAACTTGATCGGTAATTTGGTCTAATTGGTGATCAAGGAAACTATCTTGTGATCAATTAAAGTAATTACTGCATTCCGGCAACACAACCAACCTTAATTTGAGCAGGAGTCTGCACTTCTTCAACTTTAATTAAAAATAATGAAAATTATTATGCAGTCTGCAGTGCAAGATCATTGTCAAGACTGCACTGGTGGGCAGAGTTTATCAGACCATCACACATTTCTTGACGAAAGTGGGACAAGCACTTTACTCATGACAGTGAGACCCAACACAGTTTTGACTTTCACTATATTAATAACAGGGATCTGCAGTCCCTCAGCCCCTAATGAGAAAATTTTCTGATTTTTCCTTCAGAAATRAAAAGACAGGAGAAAGAAAGGTTTTGTGTATTTTCCAGAAGCCATAAGGAAGTTTTAAAGGAGACTCTGATATATTAAATATTATGAAATATCCTGATATTTTAATGACAGGCATATTAGACACATTTTCAACCTAACCCTTTCAGGACATTTGGGCTAAAATAGTATCCAGACACACAGGGAACTCCACATAAGTAGATCACATCACCCTAGGAGTGGCAGAGTTCAGAGTCTCTGCAATGAACCACGAAGAAAGTAGAACTAAGGAGTGAAGCAATCYTGCATGGATAAGATGCCTTGAGTGTGCTGGTACACCTCCTCCCCTCATGTCTTTTAAGATCATGAAAGAAGGAACTAAAAGCTAATGGTGTTTCAGTCATAACATCACATCTAAAATGTTAAATACTAGCAGCCCTAATATGTCTCCRTGAGATAAAAATCAGGGCTACTCCCAGAAGAACAAGTTAACCTAAAAAAGTGAAAAAAGCCAAGGTAAACTTGAAAAGAATTCAGCTATCTCATAATGTTTTGTGTCTGGCCAAGCTGCTCTCAAAAGTGATAAAATCCACTATCACAAAATAAGACTTAAAGTTACTTTTGTTTCCCGAGAATGGCAAAAGCAGGGCCAGACACTTTGCTGTCAGAAGTGGGAGGAAAGATGAAATTCCATCCRCCCCGCTGCACTGCGCAGCGCTGCACAGCTCCAGGAGAGCCGCGGGATCCCGGAGCTAATCTGCTATTATTCTTCCTTTCACACTTCTTAAGCAAGGAATCCATTCATCTTAATACTTTTTAAACATGCTGCTTTTGTACAATGCTTGCCAACATTATCTTGATGAGTTACACATCAAAGGCCCACAGGTCGTCATGTCGTGCTCATACATCACCCACCGCAAGTCCCCCATGATGGATCACCCCCGTGCATCTCCAGAAGAAAGCAGCTGACAGTACTTGACTCAAGAGTGGAGATATTTAAGAAAAACAGTTGAAAGGTTCAACAATATAACCGTGCACACTTTTTATTTGTTTGTTTTAAAATGAATTGTGCACTCGGSCTTCTTAAATCCCCCGGACGCCCAGCCAAGGAAAGCATGTGCTAATCACAAGTACATTATGKTTTCTGCCTCCCATCTGTCATTATWATGCTGGAGGTAGCATTAACCCTGACCTTCTGCAGTGCGAGGGCTACCTGTCTTCCCTTCCCCACCCACCCAGGCTGCATCTGTACCATTTATCAGCGGGAAATTAATAAATTATTCAGGTTACAGTGACACTGCCATGCAGGAGATTACTATGCCTCACAYATTTGCTCTCCACTACCTGAGCAGAAAGTACTCAGGGTACAGCACAAGTTCTCCTTAGCAGTTTGACACTTGTAACAATAAAATCAAACGATTAAGGTTCACTCCCCAACTCCAGAAGCCTTCACATATCCAGCTGATGTTACTACCTAACAGTGAGCTACAAGCCAGCAGATAAAAAGAAAAAACTCTTTAACATCAAGCTGTTGTAAATTGGGATTAGCTGCTAGTCATGAGGGCTGTCACGACATTTTCTCTTGTGTTCTCAGGAGAAAATTTGGGTTTGTTTTACTTTGATTCTATTTGCTCCATTGCTAAATACTTTTATTGTATAAACATGCATAAATCATGCCACAAAACTGCCACTTTTATCTGAAAATGAAAACACAGTTAAAACACAGAAAAAGAGGAATTTAACTAGTAATTAGGAAGTGACAGCAGCACAGGAGAACAGGTATTTATTCCCAAAACATGTGCTCATTTTGGGATTCTTCGCTGCTGGCATCATCAATTTGCCCAAATCACCCTCAGGGACACTGGATSCACATGGCATTGGATATTTCCCTCTTTTTTTCTGGCTGTGTCTGGATTCATACACAACACAAATCAGGTGAACACCTTCCCATTGCCCTTCCACTTTTAAATATCAATCCATGAACAGCAGAACAGTAATTAAGAATGCAAACAACCATGCCCCAAAAGAGAGCTAAAYTCAGGTTACTCCTGTCCCCCATGTCTCTGCTGAGGCTTCAAGTCATGGCCAAGGCAGATCAAACATTGTGCCTACAATTCCCCACTCTCTCCATCCCACCCCACCCTGGCAGGGGCAGCCAGCAGAGTCTGAAGGTGAGCAACACTTGATGAACCATTGGTAGAAATTTGGAWTTTTTTACTCTTTAATAGCTTGAGCAGCAAAATATTGTGAATGGAGGCAACCCTCCCATTCCCCACCATAGCTTGAGACTGGG